GGATGTCACCGAGGGTGAAGGGGAGGACGCCCCAATTGCGGTTACACGCAGGACCAGAAGAGGGCGGCCAAAGCGGAAGACCGGGGAGACTGTCAAAAAGACAAAGGAAGATGGAGGAATCACGAGCCAAAAAGGGAAAAGGAAGCTGGAAGAGATGGAGAAGCTATCTCCAGAAAAGGAGCAGCAACAGGAGGACGTATGTGGGATCTGTCTCACTGAGGAGATTCAAGTGCGTGGGAAACTGGACTGCTGCGAGCATGTCTTCTGCTTCCCTTGTATCATGCAGTGGGCTGACGTTGAAACACGCTGTCCGCTCTGCAAACGAAGGTTCCGGCGACTTGAAAAGATCACCAAGTCTAAGGATCCCTCTGTGAAACCTCGAAAAACAATCGTCCGGGTTCGGCAGAAAGATCAGGTGGAGTGATAACACTTGCAGTTACCCCCTTTGACTTGACCAAATAACCCAATAGATGATGATTGACGATTGGCGTTTGATGACTGACAATTGGCGTTTGATGATTGATGATTGGTGATTGATGATGACCAGGGTGATGTAATCTTCTTGAACAATGATCAAGATGATGTAATCTTTCTTCTTCTTCTTTGCCTTCTTCTTCTTCATCTTTCTTCTTCTTCTTCTTTGCCTTCTTCTTCTTCCTCTTTCTTCTTCTTCTTCTTCTTCTTCTTCTTCTTCTTCTTCTTCTTCTTCTTCTTCTTTCTCCTCCTCCTCCTCCTCCTTCTTCTTCTTCTTCTTCTTCTTCTTCTTCTTCTTCTTCTTCTTCTTCTTCTTCTTCTTCTTTGCACATGACATTTTCAATGGCTTGCAAATATGGTTCGAGGGTGGAGGAGCTTGGCATTAAGAGTTTAAGCTGTGGAGACGAGTGAACTGCAATTGTAATTGTGAGAGATTTGTGAATTGGTGTGGATATCTGTAATTTTCGTTTTCAGAAAGGAATTAGATGACCTTTTACGGCTTCCACTTGCAAACAAAATACTATGTGGTGAATCTCTCTCCCATCCTCCTCCTCTCTCTCTCTCCCCCCCTCTTCTCTCTCTCTGTTCCCCCCTTCTCTCTCTCTCTTGCCCCCCTTCTCTCTTCCCCCCTTTCTCTCTCTCTCTCTCTCTTACACACGCAGAGACAGTACTGATCAGTACTTTCTATCTGTGCAAGGACAGTATCGAACCAGCACCACAAGAGCCAGGTCTCTTAACCACTACAACCAGGACATGGTGTTCAAAAGCTGAACCATACCGGTTGTGATATCCACCCTACCCCTGCATGGCTGCAGTGTCCTTCACTCGCTCTCACATGCACACAACACCACACAGGCAATTCACACACACATTGTCCCAATCGAGCACATGATCTTCCCACCGTTCCGGACCACAGAATGAGATAAACCACCCCTCACTGGTTATCAGGTGCTTGCAGAGTCGGTGCTGATCAGCACTTTCTAGCCTCGGATCCATCTGTGCATGCACGGAATCGAACCGGCACCCGGAGCCACAAGTGCCAGGTCTCGTAACCACTACAGCCATGGCACTGTGTTCAAAAGCAGAACCATACCAGTCATGATATCCACCCTACCCCTGCGTGGCTGTACAACCGCCATTCTCGTGAGGGTTTTGGTGATCGACAGTCTGCTAGGATTGCATGGTTGAGTCTGCTAGGATTACATGGTTGAGTAAAGTCGACCACTTTTATCAGGGGTATCGCTAACTCACGTGGTGAGTCCTTATCCGTCAGTCTAAAGCATCCTGGGTTGACTGTCAGGGTTCGACCTCCTGATGAGTCAGTGAAAGTCTGATGGAACAGTGTGGCACAGTGATGCTTTTTTTTTTGGAGTTGTGTACAGAGGTGAGCAGTGGGGGACCACATCCACCCTAATTGGCCTGGCTGGGTGAGGTGTGGATGACGCCTTGGCCTGGATGACCAGATGGGTGGGTGATGGGCGCATGATGCTTTAGCACAGGTCACCCTTGGCGCCTGTTCGCTCACACTCTCCTCCCCAGCCCCCGAAGACAAAGGAAAAACGGAAATACCCGGCATTATTTGACCCTGGTCCCTGGTGCAACTGCCGTTGATCCCTACCTTTGGAACTGAAAAAAGTGGGGGTGCAGGCTGGCTGATCCTGCCTCTGGGCCAAACAAAAGGTAAAAACAGGCACCCTCGAAAAAGAACTTTTTGAGTTCTGCAGGCCTTCTATGGGTGTGAAAGTGATTGACTGGATCTAACTGCATTAGGCGGAAAGATTCACTTCACATTTTGGTGGTGCAGGCCTCCAAAGGTGCTGGTACAGGCAGATGTGGGTGGGTAGTAATCGGGCCAGAGCACGTGCAAGTCAGGGTGACGTCTTGTTGGGGCTGGGCAGGGGGAGCGAACTTCAAAACAAACTTGGGCTGGTCGGTTTCACAAACCTAAACAAAAGAATTGCTTGGGCAATGGCATGCATGAGTAAAAAAAGGCAGGGCGGGTAAAGTGGCGGGAAAATAATTTTTGAACCACCGGTACCTTTCCCAGCTATCGCTACAGTACTGTGATGGTTCATCATGGAGGAATTTAATCTGGTGCAAGCAGGCCCGTACATCCAACCTCCCGCACATTCGGCATGCCATCGCAACTTTTTGTGGAGGTAGATTAAAGGTAAATTGCCTTCCAAGCAGGGGATATGGGTTCGATTCCCGTTATCCGCAATTGCAATTTGATGAAAAGATAAATAAAATGCGCATGATTGGTACCACAAAGTTCACTACATTGACCATAATAAACTCCTCGTTTGATAAAGATGGAAGTCTGATTTAAACGACCAGGTACGGCATCACATTTGACACCTAAGAAAGGTACTGCCCAACTGTGAAGTACATCAGCAGATGTTATAATCATACATAAATGAGTTTTGGCTGGTACAACCACTCGATTATCTACTTCTAATAAACGTAATTGACCCAATTCTAGATCATCCCAAAAAGGTGCAAATTTAAGGAAGTGAAAAAAAACACAATGCCATAATGTTGTAGTCGTTAAAACTGCGAGAAGGCACAAAACTTAAGAACGTGAAAAAAAAAAGACAGTTAGTCTCGCTAAAACTTGCGCTAATTTTAGCGGCCGCAACACTTCGCGTAGGTTAGGGTTTGGAGACGCGCGGCAGACTGCCACTTGACTTTCCGTCCATGTTCTGCATGACGGGTCGCGTTGACTGGCCCGGCGGTTGTCGACATGGGTGACAGCCGGCTATGGTGACCGTGCCGCCTTCGTGAAAGAGGGGCCTCGGGAGATGGGGGAAGGGGCAGGAGGGGAAGAGCACTGCGAGGATGGCAACGATGGTAATGGCTATGGCAGGATTGGTGGGGAGAGGCTAGACGAATTGGGATATGTATGACACAACGCGCCCAGAAGATAGAGGGCGTGGGGGAAAGGTGGAGGAGGAAGTCGGGGGAAATTAGAGGGAGTAGGGTAGGATGGGAGAATGAAACAGGTAGGGGATAATGGACAACGGAAAAGGGAGGCTAGGAATATAGTAACCTGAGAAAGAGCGGAGACGGTAACGACGGACAAGACTGTAGCTACGGCGTGAACAGCGTTGACCGGGTGGGTCGCTGCTTGGCGATGACCGGAGAGGACGACAACCGAAGTGGGACGACAGTAGGAGATGAACAGCGTTGACCGTGTGTGGGTCGCTGCTCGGCGACGGCCGAAAAGGATGACGGCTGAAGTGGGATGAAGGAAAGTGCCAGGAGGATTTTGTTGGGAATAGGATGAAGGAAATATCATTCAAATATGGTAACACGAGGAAGGGCGGGGACGATAACAATGAAGAAGACCATAGCACAAGGTGAACAGCGTTGACCGTGTGGGCCACTGCTCGGAGAGAACTGGAAAGAAAGATGGTTGAAGTGGGACGATGGAAAGTGCTGGGAGGAGTTTGTCGGGAGTATGAAGATGGAAGCACGGCAACGTGAGGAAGAGTGGGGGTGACTATGGAACGAGGCGAGGGAAGATTGCAGAAGAGACAGGATGAAGAAGCCTGCTCGGACGAGCGACGTTAGGAAAGGAGAAGCACACTAGCAGCGGTAGGGAAAAGGTGACAGCGATGACGGCCCGGAAAAAAAGAGGGGCGGAGGGGAGAACGTGCCACGTGACAGAGGGGGGGTAAATGGGGGTAGAGCACACGGGGTAGGAAAAGCTGGGGGAGCCAACGGTAGGATAAGTCCATGCAGGCGGAGAAGCGAGTAAGCTCCAGAGCTTTGCTCGCTGGGTTGAGAATCGGAAAACATGGTGATTCGGTGAACGATCTCAATACCCGGCCGAACTCGCGGACGAGCGAGGGGATCTTCAGAGTAGTGCTCGGTTAAGGGAACTTCCGGGAGGCACGGGGGAAGAGTCAGCTGGTGGAAGTCGAGGAGTGCACACTGCGGGGAAAAGGGGAGGACTGGGAGACCGATATGGAGGGAGTAGCAGAGGAGAGATGGCGCCTGATGCAGATTCTGCGCAGGGCGCATTTGCTCCACCAGCCAATTGAAGTTGCAGGACTGGTGGAATATGCAACTATTAACGGGGTGTGCATGACGAGACCCACCAACAAAATTATGTATCTACAAAATATGTACGTCATAGCGCATACCGTGGCTTGTAGATTGGCCGGGCGGGATGAGACCCACCAACGAATACAAAATATGTACGTCATAGCGCATACCGTGGCTTGTAGATTGGCCGAGCGGGCGAGTAATTGGTCGGGTAAGACTAAACGCGAATGGTGTCGACACGTGGAGGAAACGTGGACTTTGGGCCGAGGGCCGATTCGGGTGGATATTGGCACGGAAGCGGATACAACTGTCACATATCTGGCGCCCACGGTCGAGCTGTGTGATTGGCTGATCAATGACAGAAGAGTGGAAGAGATACGTGCGGCAGAGGTGCAGGGGCAGGTGAGACTGCTTCCGTGGAAGCTGCCGACTGAAATGCAAGTGGAAAGATTGCCGAACGGAAGTGGTGGCCATGGGTCAAAGTGTATAAGCCGTCGCTTCTGGCGTCTATGTGGATGGGAGGGGCCGTGGAGCACTTCTACGGGCCAATTGCGGAAGAGCAAGTCGTCGACGACGAGGAACGTGAATATACCAGGTATGTCATTGCCGGCCCGTTAAAAAATCTGCTTAAGAACAGTGTGGCGGTCGCCACCGGGCCATATAGCTTTGAGAAGGTGCGGGTGATCACAAGTGAGACCCCGTTCTGCAAGGTCTGCTTCACACACGACCATCTGGGTCTACACGGCCGCTGTCTTACAAGAGCAGAAACCTTGCAAGAAATCCAAGGCAGAGAAGCGAGATATGCGATGGACCCGGTGTTACAGTGTGATCCTCAGATGGAACGATCGGGATGGCGAGACTTGGAGATCCAGATGGATGGCCTGGTGTTGTAGGAGGCAGGGGGCAGAGCCCGAGAACGTGGGCATGAGGATATGGTAAGAGTGACAGGGCAGAGGAGTATAAGAAAGGTGAAGCGGGGAGGGGGGTGCCGTTGCAACGTCTCATGGGCAGGCGGAGTGGATGACCCCATGCAGTCGGATGAGCCGCACTGGTTGTTCGGAAAGGAGCGGAAAAGGAAGGCGGAGCAGTCCTCGGGGGAAGAGAGAGGCCAACAAATGCCCGGAGCGGAGCAACAAAGAGCCGGAAGAGAACAAGGGAGTCAGGCGGAAACTCAGCCGAAGACGAAGGAGGACGTGAAAACACCAGAGACACAGCCCGCCAATGGCCAGCAGGCCTCGTCGGAGGAACTGGTGCAGGGGGGGAAGAAGGAAGGGAAAGAAGGCGACAAGGACTCTGATAGCAGTCGCCAAGCGAAACAGACGGGCGGAGTGGGCATGGAAGAGGATGGTAAGGGGGCTGCTATGACACAAGAGGAGGATGGGACGGCCCAGGGGAAAATGGCGGATCTGGGTAGTAGTCTGACTGGTGAAGGGGAGGGCTGCGACTTTCGAAGACAAGGAAGGCAAAGGAGAGGGACAGAGGAACGGAGGGGAGCAGGCTCAGAGCCGGGACACTGCACAACAGGCATTGATGGAAGATGGGCAAGGCTCAGACGGGGAAAAGGAACAGAGGGTTGAAGACAACGACACGGGGAGAACAAGTCCACGGGAGTTGGGCAAGGAGGAGGATGGGACAGGCGAGGAGGAGGATGTCACAATTGAATCTGGAACACTCCAGGACCCACGGAGGCCGTTGTATGAACCACCCATTGTTGCGGAATGGGACAAAGGAACCCGGCCATTGCGGAGGATAAACAAAGAGTTAAGCAGCTGAAGGGGTCGCCGAAGAGTTCTTCCTCTGCGGAGTGCTTCCCAGTCCCCACGTACTCGCAAGAATCAGGCCGGCAGACTTATCCATGAGAAAGGGAGCGCTCCTCCTTGGGGGCAGATCTGGGACCGAGGTTTTTTTGGCTCGGAGGGTCGAGTCGTAGAGGTACTTCGCCATCGCCCTCCCCCATCCTGAAGGAAGCGAGCTTCAACATGCCAGTAGTAGGACGACCGACAAGCAGAAGCGAGTAGGAGCAGGAGGAGACTCTGGATGAAACAGACACGTCGGACACGGCAAACACCAATGCTTCGGAGACCAGTTATAAAATGAATCAGCGGACAACGAGTGGAAAGGGGAGGATAATGAGGTGGGGAGGGAGGAGCAAGAGGAAGACCGGCGGTCGAGGTCGGCGGAGACACTTGCAGAGGGAGGGGGAGAGCAGGTCGCTGAGGAATTTCGGGGAGAAGAGGGCGGGGAAGACATGAAGGAGCAGGACCTGCTGACGGAGCTGACGAGACAGGCTTAAAAGCGATTTTGGACAAGGGGAAGTGCTACGTCTGCCCCATTGTCCTGTGGCGGGCGCCAGAGGGTATCAGGATGCTGATGGGCGGACCGACAGGGGTACCAATCTTTAGTGTCAACCAACCTCCACAGGAACGTAAAGAAAGTGATGCATTGGGTGGGCTCGAAGTATGAAATTATGCCGCTGTCGGGCATGTCTGCCTTGTGCTTCATTCGTCGTAAGACTGAAGGGAATGATCATATACTTCCTGGAAGTCGTCCCTAAGAAGCCAGGCAGCCCGAGACTGCGTTGCAGAAGTCCGCAGTGGATAGACTTTGCGGAAGTATATGGCGCGATAACGACTCCCCAGATCTACCATATCATATATGCGACCTCGCTGACCATTTTGAACAGCGTTAATGCACACCTACCATGGGACGAGCAAGTGGGAAATGTGCAATTTCAGGAGGGAACAGGGAAATGGGCGAGGGGGGAATAAGTTGATGGTGTAGGGATATATTATCCCACAGGATGTCACAGGGGAAGGGGCACCCCCCCAGCAACTTAAATAATTGGAAATAGAGTACGATGGGAGGATGGGCGTGAGAAAGATTGAGAGGGATAAGGTAGGATGAGGAGAAATAGACAGTGTAACCGGTTGAAGATCATGACATGGAATGTTAGAGGATTGGGTGCGGGATCGATATTGTCCAAAAGACGGGAGTTGGCGGAGAAGGTCAAACAGAAACAGATCGACGTCGTTTGCTTGCAGGAGACCAAGCTGGATGAGGGCAAGACAGCAGAGCCGGCGCTGTGGTGGAAGGGGCGCCAAGTATGGGCCCCGACTCAGGGAACAAAAGGGGCGGGTGTGCATTTTAATCTCTCCTTGTTTCAGAGGGGAAATCAGAGATTGGTATTTTGATTCAAGGGGTCGGTGGGCTTGGGTGATCTTGCAATGGGGGGAGGAACTGTGGGGATTGGTTACAGTGTATGGCTCGACAGAGATTGGGTCGCGGCGCAGAATGTGGGAGCAGTTGCAGACTGTCACTCTGGATGTGAACAAGATCATTATAGCAGGTGACTTTAGTTTGGTCGCAGTCCCGGTTCTGGACTCGGCTACAGCAAGGCACGTGGAAGCGGATTCTCTGGAGCTCCTTAGCGGGAGGACGGCGCTGGGCTGCACGGACTCTTACCGAACACTGCACCCACAGGATAGGGAATTCACATTCTGGGGAAATGCTGTGACAAGGAGGTCTAGAATTGACATGATATGGGCGTCGGTGTCTAGAATTTATACGATATGGGCATCGGTCGAGCTGACCGAGGCGATAGAGCAGGTCCACATAGTTCCAATGGAGACATCAGATCACTCAGCACTGATAGCAAGCTACCCGGTGGGCCAGTTGGAGAAGGGCCACCCTCCCAAGGCGATCCCGGGCTGCGTTTTTAAGAGTGAGGAGTTTCAGCCAGAGGTGGCCCGGTTTTGGGAAGAATGGATTGACGAGTGCCCACAGGAGAACCTGTTCGCCCATGTAGCAAAGGCGATTCAAGACTTGCGAGAACGGCTGGTCAAACAACTGCGGAGCAGCTACTTGGCGCATCAGCGAACGAGGGAAGAATATACGCGAAGAATGGAGGAACTGAACATCGGCCTGGTTGGAGAGCAAACAGAGGATGAATGGTGGGCTGAGTGGGTGGAGGCGGCACGAGGGTGGAGGGAATGTTAGAGGGAGGAAGCTGTCAAATGGGGAAGGCGAACTAAGGAGTCGTGGATGCTGTGGGAGAACGGATGGCACAAAGATTTTTCGCGACAGTGGGCACGCGTAAAATGGCACCGCTGATGACAGCGATGGACCCCCCCTTTGACGACAATCAGCCAACACAGCGCACAACGAGAGGGATTTTGAAATGCATCAGGGACTTCTACTACCTGCTGTTAACTGAAGAGGAGGACTGGACACCGGAGGACATCGCCAAGGAACCGGAGCAAGCAGTGTGGAGGCATATCCGCAGTGGACTGGACCTGGCAAGTACTTGTGGATTGGAGAAAGATGTTAAGACGGAGGAAGTGGAGAGAGTGGTTGCGGATCTTCCTTGCCTCAAGGCACCGGACTTGGATGGGATGCCGGTGGAAGTGTACAAGGAGTTCCACAATTTCTTTGTGATCCTACTGACGACTGCGTACAATGAAGTGCGTAAACATGGATCCTTCCCGCAGAGCTTTGCGGAGGCATATGTAGTCCTGCTTTATAAAAAGGGGGCGAAGGAGGACGTACGAAATTGGAGGCTGATATCTATTCTCACTGCACTATGTAAGATATTGGCCAAAGTGATGGCAACCTGTGTGAAGGAAGTGCTGCCGCACCTTATAGATTGCACACAGACTGGGTTCGTGTCAGGCTGCCAGATTCCGTCATATGTTATATTGGCACAGCAGATCTTGGAGGAGGACAGGACCGATGCACAGGCAGCGCCGCGACTTTCATCTCCATTGACCTCGAGAAAGCGTATGACCGTGTCCGTTGGGAGTTCCCATTAATTTACAGGCAATCGCAAACAGAGGGATAGGAGGGATATTTTGCAGCTGGGTTAGAAGCCTGCTGATGGGGGCAACAACAGTGATGCAGGTTAACGGCGTTAGGTCGGACAAACTTAAGGTTACCCGGACAGTCAGACAAGGTTGCCCGCTTTCTCCGGCCCTATACGTCATCTACATCGACTCCATGCACGATATCTTAAGGGCGGATGATAGATTGATTGCTTTGAAAGTGGGACTGTCAATGGAGCTGCAATCCACTGCGTTCGCGGATGGCTTGATAGCAGTGATCCCTTTGACAGCCCTACAGCTGGGCGTGCTCAAGTATGACCCACAAACGTTTTGTAAGTACTCAGGGGCGCGGGTCAACTGGCAGAAATTGAAGGCCATCCTCCCGTTGGAGGTCGACCCGTCGGAGGGATGGGATATCCCCACGGTGACAGAAGGGGAACGCTTGGCCTTTTTGGGAGCAAATTTGACACTGAGCTACGGCGGGATCGAGCAGATGGCACTTCGCTCAACAGCGGCCGTGGCCCGACTTAAACCATGGAGCGCAAGAGGAAGCATGGGCGTCTTCAGGAGGGCCCTGGTCATTAAGAACTCAGTGCTTGCAACCTTGTGGTATGCAGGTGTTGCGCATATTCCAGGCAAATGTACCTTCAGATACATTAGGAAGGCGATCAACGCGCATTTGTGGTCGAACAATGCACAGGCGGAGGACTCCATATGCAGGGTGGCCTGGAACAAGCTTATTCAGCCAAGTCGCTTTGGAGGCCTGGGGTTGTTGGACCCACGGTTACAGATAATAGCGCTGCAGCTACGTCAGCTGATATGGCACCTGTTGGCCACGGTAGGGGGGGCCTAGCAAGAACTCACCAGGACTCACGAGGCATATGTGCTCCAGGTACCCAGGGAGATGGTGGATGTGTGCCTTCGGAGCCGCAAGGCAATAGCCCACATCCTCAGGGATGCGGTATGGTCCACCAAGCTGGCGCTGTGGAAGAAGACGCGGCTAAGCTGCCATCTAATGGGGACAGCGGAGGCAGTATACAATCAACTGCTGTTCGACAATAGATTCATCTGTGATGAAGCCAGCGAGCCCTTTCAGTGGCATGGCGCGCGAGGAGCCTTCGGCTGGAAATGGGCGAAACAGGGAAGCTACAAAGTCGGGCATCTATGGGATGAGGACCGCAGGGACTGGCGCCCCGAAAATGAGGTGTTGGAATTGCTGCAGGGGCGGTATGAGGAAAGGCAAAGGCTTAGAGAACTGCTAGACGCCATCCCCCCCCAGTGGATAGAGATGTTAAGAAGAGATGGCATATTTCCAGGGGAATGGGTGAGAAATTGAGAATAAAAGGGAGCTCGAGACTGGACAAAGTTTATAGGGTCGAGCAGATGCTGCCAGACGACAAGGTCGAAGCGACTGCTTGGCAGGTGTCCTCGGGGTATGATGGACTGGGGGAGCCCTTCCGGGAGTGTGCCGCACAAGAAGGCCAACCCGGAAGATGCTGGAAAGAAGCAGTATACAGACGGTGGTGGTGTGTGAAGGAGGTCTGGAGGTGAAAGGACAATACTTGCCATTTCGAGTTGCAGTGCGAAGGCGGGATTTGCAGTGGGATCCAGGGGAGTGGCAATGGTCGGCCTGTAGGATGCAGAAAAAGGCGGTGCAGCTCCAGTGCCTCGGTACGAAGAACATCTACAATTCTCTACTGGACCCTGTGGACATATGTGGAGAATTGAAAAATCGCTGGGCCAAGAGGGATTGGATTCCAGATGCGTACATCAACAGATGGACTCAGCGCAGATGGAACGAGCAAAATGCCACCCTGGCTGCTCTGCCAGACCAGAAGCAGGCAGGCCTATTGTGGCACCTGTACCACCTGGCAATCCCCACAGTACAATGGCTGGCAGCAAGAAGCTGACAAAAGGATCAGCTATGCTCAGTGGGGTGTGCCAAGTGGATACCATTCCGCATCTCTTTGTGAGATGCCTGGTGGTCCGAGCCTTCTGGCAGTGATGGGTGCAGGAGATGGCGGACAAGCCCCCCTTGGGGGTCACGGAGGCGGACGATGCAATTATCCTCCTTGGGGCCCTGATGAAGGTGGACAGATCACAACCGCAGGACCTGATGGCTTCAGAGATCATTAGGGCGGCAGTCCTTTGGCGGACCGGTACCGCAGCACACGCAAAGGAGGGCAGGATGAAGGTTTTTGGGCACGATGGGGCCCTTATCCGCAGCTGCTCGCCCGACACCCTCAGACGGGCCAAACGCAGCTGGGCCCTGTACTGAGGCGACAAGTGCAATGGACAGGTGGAGAGGGGGAAGAAGAGGATGGCTAGTTAGAGGGGTATAAAGGATCATAAGAACAACCGGTTTGTAACATATGAAGGATAATGGAAAGAGTAGGATGGGAAGGATACTAACCAGTTGTTCTCATGATCCTTTATAACCCTCTAACTAGTCATCCTCTTCTTCCCCCTCTCCACCAGTCCATTGCACTTGTCGCCTCAGTACAGGGCCCAGCTGCATTTGGCCCGTCTGAGGGTGTCAGGTGAGCAGTTGTGGATAAGGCCCCCATCGTGCCCAAAAACCTTCCTCCTGCCCTCCTTTGCGCGTGCTGCGGTACCCGTCCGCAAAAGCACTGCCGCCCTAATGATCTCTGAAGCCACCCGATCCTGCGATTGTGATCTGTCCACCTTCATCAGGGCCCCAAGGAGGATAATTGCATCGTCCTCCTCCGTGACCCCCAAGGGGGGTTGGCCCGCCATCTCATGCGCCCACCACTGCCAGAAGGCCGGACCATCGGGCATCTCACAAAGAGATGCGGAATGGTCTCCACTTGGCCACACCCCGCTGAGCATATCTGATCCTTGTGTCGGAAGAGTAGGATGGGAAGGATAGCAAAGATTTGGGAACGGTAGATTTTAAATAGGTAGGTAGGTACAAATGGTGGGAGATTAGATAGGTAAGGGGTGGGGGGGTGGGGGTGGGGGGGGAGCATATGAAGTTGGTGGAAATAGGTAGGGAGGATAGAGGACTTTGCGGGAAAGAAATAGGAAAATGCAGGGGCCATCAA